AAAGAAAAAACAAATAGCTGAAATAAAAGCAAAATTGGAAGCAGGCTAGAGCAAGAGACTTCGGAAGCAAAACAATGAGATAGAATTAAGAACTCTGGTTGCAAACTTTAAGATATTAGCCAAACAAAAGTTAGCAATACAAAAGAGAAAAAAAAGAAAAGCTAAAAAAAGAAAAGAAAAGAAAACTAGAGAACAAAAGACTGTAGACCTTGTAGAAGCTCTAGTTAAGACCCAAGAAGATCCAAGACCAAAGATCGAAATAACAAGCCCAACAAAATAGTTGATTGAAGTAATATATCAAGTGAGTATTAAAAACTTACAGACAGATAGCAGAGTGTGGAAGAAGAAAAGGAAAGACCTGCTTATAAAATAGATACAAGGTTCAAAGATCTAAAGAAACTTTGCTACAAAATAGATTCAAAATACTCCAACACATAGGCAAAAAGGAGTCAAGAACTAGAAAAAGAAAAAAAAAGATATGTTACTTGAGATATTAGAGATGACTTTTGTAGAAAATTTTGAAAACCAGAGTATTTGAAATAAAATTCAAGAGAAGGTTTTGGGAAGAAAAATAAAGTCTAGAAGAAAAAAGAAAAGAGAAAGGTAAAGAAGAAAAAAGAAAAAGAAAATCTACAAATCCAGACCATGAAAGGTAAAGAATCTGAGCAAACTACTCAAGACTAAGAAGTGAAAAGACCAAAGGAAGACCCAAGACACTTTGAAGAAAAGAAAGCTTACAGAAGAATATATTTAGAGAAGCTGTTAAAAGAAGCTCTCATGAAGTAGAAGAATACTACAGCACTACAAAGCAAGAAGAGAAAGCTGTTGAAAAGAGTATAAGGCAACTTCTGAGAGCTGGGTTGCTTATTGAAAAAGATAGACTAAACTAAAAGAAGATGAGAAGAAAATGTAAATATAAATAAAAGAATTTTGGCAATTTCCCTTTATTGAGAGATAAAATAGATTTACTTGTTAGAAAAAAACTAGATTTAGATTATTGTTTTAAAAAGAAGATTAGTTTAGTAGAGAAAAATTGCTAATTAGATGTAATTAAAAATTCTTTTAATTTGAAACTATCTTGCTATCATTTTGCTGGCTAGCTTGGTATAGCCCTCTAGTATGGGCAATTGCTTTAACTAGTAAGGCAGACCGCACTTGGGCACCCTTTGAGGAAACTGAGTGATATCAGATCTATAGCTTAGATAGTTATAGGATGTCTTGTGCATTTACTTTGATCTAATAAAAGATACTAGCAAGGCTACCAATACTACAAAAAAAAATACTAGTGTAATATTTGATATATAATAAATAATGTATTTTAATCTCACCCTAACCAACTAGATACATTCTTTAATAACCCACTATTATTAATTCTAAATCCCTAATAATTATCTATTTCGCATAACCAATATTTGTAACTCTGAGCTAATTTGACCCCATGTTAGCCAAGTCTCTCTCACAGTTGCAATACTAACAATCATACTACAATTAAGTTATATGATAAAATTCTTGTAAGTATATATAGATTAGTCAAAAGAGTTATGTAAGCAAAGATTAATTAAGGTTTGAAACTAGTTTATTTCATATATTTTAACTAGTTAACTATAGTTAACTACTTGAACTATAAATACTATAGTTATCTGTAAAAAATATAGTTAACAATTGATAATATCTATTTGGTAACAGAATTATAGAACATATGATTACTCTCTTGATTTATTAATAAAAGATTACTTATATTTGCAATGATTTCTACTCTCAATCTGATTTAGATAAAATACATTAATAATTAAAATGACAAACAAACAGAGTAAGTATTGAACTTACAAGTCAAGTCAAAAGATAAATAAATTAGAAGTACTTTATTAATAATATAACTAAACAATAATTTAAGTATAGTATTAGTATTAATTAGTATAATAATTATTAATTGTAATCATACTTATCTTTTATAACTATCTGTGGTACTAATACAATTGTTAGCATATATATTGTAAAAAATAAATTTGTATATGAATTAATCACCTATAAAATAACTTTGACTATAAATTAATTTTTTTTTATATAAACATAGACATACTTAATTAACTAATTTTTATTCAGGCTAATTATATATAAATTTAAAAAATTTAAAAGTTGTAACTAATATAGTAGATACCCTAAATATAAATAGAAGCTAAGTGTATATTATGAGGAGCTAAATCGATCTAGAAACTCAAACTATGGTTCTCATGAATATTAACTAACACTAAACTAATCCTAATCACGTGAAATAACTTGGTTTGAGTTATTAGGGCCAAATAGAGCTCTAGACTATGTCACAAGGCTCTAATTCAAGATCACAGGTTTATAAGATTACTTATCAGAAGGTAATTAAGTAAAATGTTTAAAGTTAACAAAAGGCTTCTTAATTGAGTCAAACTCAAATGAGTTATGCTACTCTCTGTTTTTTTTTATTGAAAATGAGCTCAAAGCTCTTATATACTAAAGTTTTACAAACTAAAAAGTGAGTAAATTCACTTGCTTACTTTGCTTACTTCTTTTACTTTACTCACTTTACTACTTTTCTAACTAAAAAGTATTTGAGCTATAATTCACCCTTTCACAATATACATAAATCAAAATGAATAAGTGATATACTTAGATTTAAAAAGTTATATAAAAAATTTTATAATACTTACCACTATACTAATGACTATTATATGTTTGAGGTTGAGTTAGCATGTCTTAATTTTTAAGTAGTTAAAGTTAAGACAGGTAGTATCAGAATTAACATGTACTTTCTCTGTGGTTTGATTGAGTTAGCTTTATTATTAGATACTTTTATCTTATTTAATAAAACTAAACTGAATAATATTTATGTAAATATTTAGATGTATATATACAATATTTATTATGATCATCTATAATAATGAAATTATCAGACATATATATACAAGATTTATTATGATTATCTATAGTAAATAAATATAATATATATGCTAATCATCAAATATATATATATAAGATTTATTATGATTGCCTATAGTATATATACTAATCATTAGATTCATATACAAGATTTATTATGATCATCTATAGTAAATAAATTTAGAATTCGAATTTGAAATAGTTAATTTATTAGTTAAGTTAGCAAGTTTAATTATATTACTTATAATAAATCTAACATTACTATATAAATAAGTTAGATTCTGTAAATAATATAAAAAATTTATTATAATGACTACTAATATCTCTTGTCTAGAAACCTTTGCCTTAAATATTCTTAAAAATTTATCTTCAAATAAAATTGAGAGTAATATTAATGTTATAGAACGTGACCCATGTACATTATACAATCAAGAACTTTTTTTGTATAAAATAAAACAACCAATTATCTTACTTAACTGTAGTCATATATATCATTGAGATTGTATCGAAAGTTCTATTAAAATTAGTTTAAAATGTCCAAAACAAAATTGTAAAAAAGAGATAGAATCTGTAGTTGATAGCATACCTGGGAGTTAGGATCTTGATTTAATAGTTATATCACCTACAATATTTAAAAGCCCCTATAATTATACAAAAAAGTGATATATCAAAAAAGCGTACTAGAAATTATATATTATTTTCTAATAAACTATCTAACAAAAAAATAAAACAAATAAAAAAAGAATCGCTTACAATAAAGAAGCTTATAAAAGAATTATCTACTGAGCCTAGTACTTCACAAGATCCTGTAACTAGAAAAGAAAATGCAAATAATTTTGTTAATTTGTATAATAATATAACCTATGCAGAAACTCAAAATAAAATTATTAATCAGAATATTGTAACCAGCTATTATTTTTTTGGTAAAGCACCTATTGATAGATATAAATATTATAAAACAAATAATCCAAAATATACAGCCCAAGCATTAGTTAATAAAGAAATTAGTGAACAACTTCCTACTACAATTAGTGATATCTTATTACGAAAAAAGAGAGAGAGCACAAAAAATTTATAATTTATTTAGTGAAATTGGTGAAAATAAAATCTAATATATTAAATCAATTTCAGCTTTATTAATTTCAAAATTAAGTCAAGATGAAATTGATACTATATTAGTTTATTTTTCTCAAAAATAAATATTTCAAGTAGGATTCTGCAAACTGGGCATGTGCTTGTGCCTAACAAAATCTTGGCACAAACATGGTACAAAAAATTTGACACTAACTTGCCCAGACAACTTGTAAATATAGGCATCAAAATGCCAGGCACTAATTAAATACTTTGTGCCTATAGGTATATAAAGCATAGGCATAATTAGCCTGGTACTTTTATATCTAAGGCACAAAATGCTTGGCTTAAAAGTGCCTAATATTTTAAGAATACAGGCATGAAAGTGTCTAACATATTTGTGCCATTGCACAGGCCTGGCACATGCCCAATGTTTATGTTACAACTTATGAGTGATTAGATGTTCGCTCAATATTAATTACTAGCTAAATTTTTATTCTTTAAGCGTATATTCAAATATTCATATATAATTTAACCATTAATTAAAAGTTTTTGCATTCTCTACGTAGAACACAACTGCATTTTCTTGAGCATAATGAACTTCTTTTTTTGCAAAAACATGATTTGGTGTTGCAATTTGTTTTTTGGCAATGATAGTTTCTTGTCAAGTGTCTTGAGACTGGAACCAATATTATTATTCATTGCAAAAGTTATTAAAATTATTATTATTAATATTATTATGAATATTATGTTTTTTTTATTACTTACTCAAAGAACATATTTGATAGGTACTTACTAATACTATTAGCCGATCTTCTATTGTTACGAGTAAGGTTTTGTCTAGTACCTGCTTCTCTTAATGAAAGTATATTATTTAGTAGTACAACATTGAGATCAGGATAATCAGGAGTGCCCAGTAGCTCAAGTTAATTTGCTAAGTACCAATTGTTGAGGATCCCAAATTTGCAGATAACTTGGTAAAAATCACGGTTAGGTTTTCTTTGAAT